AGAATTCCACATGTCGATCATCAACGAAACAATTGCATGCAGTGAGTTAAGAAAATAAAGTGAACAGTTGTCGGTGCAAAGGTGTAAAACAACTGTTGGTGTGGTCTCTAGTCGTTCTTCCACACACACACACACACACACACACACACACACACACACACACACACACACACACACATGTGCGCGTGCACACACGCACACACACACACATGTGTGTGCGTGTGTGCGTGTGTGCATGTGTGTGTGTGTGTGTGTGTGCAAGAGTATGAAACCATCAACCCCCCGTAATACACACATCACCATCGAGCACCGCACAAAATCGTCGTCCCAGTGGCTGATTCATTCACCACGAACCAATGGAACGGAAGAGGCAACCGAATCACTTAAAACACACACACACACACACACACACACACACACACACACACACACACACACACACACACGCACACACACACACGCAGGAGTAGGCACCTTGCGCGATAGGATCGAACTGAAATGAAATCGGCCAATTCAACGTCCCAGCCCATCACCGAATTAAACAAGTTTCGACGAAGAGAACGCCCCCAGCGAACGCAAACTTCAATTAACCCCATCTATTTTACGCGTCGTATGCCTGCTTGCACTTCCCACCCTCAAGCACTGACGACACGGAAGCCATCGAACTATATGGCCGCACAACACACTACCCACGCGACTTGCCTGTCCTTACACCTAATACCAGCCGGCGATGGCGTGTGAAATCTACGTGGCGGGCCACACGCTGCCATCAAGGACACGGGACACTGGATGAGTCAGCGAAGCACAAAACCTTCCTGAAAGTCGGCTGCAATGGACCTTCAATGATCCCGGATGGCAGGAATTCACCGCACTGGCCACCGTGCCCGCGGTCCACGCAGGGCGTCATCACCACTTGCACATACTCACCACAGCGGCAATCTGCGATGTGCACCACGTGGCGAAAGAAAGACGTGGACAATCGACGGTCGCCGAAATGTCCGCATGCCCATCAACCGCACCTCCGCCACCTCCCCCGTATTCAACACATCAGCAAACTCCCCCATGCGGCACGTGGCGAGACCAACGCGTTGGACAATCGGTGGACGACAAAGATGCCACCTCTCGCCAGACGCTGCATGATCCCATACACGACGAGAACGGCAATCTGCGCCGCGCTCCACGTGGAGAAACACACGCGTTCGACACTCCCCGTCTGCCAAAGAAGCCGCCGGCCGTTCGACCACAATATCGCCACCTTCTGAACCCAACGTCAGGAAAGGCCCATAACTGAGTCGTAAAGCTATCATCCGGCCACCCGTCCCATCCCCAAGGAACATCTCCTACATCCGGATCTCTCCATGGAGGTACCCACGACCAACAAGCGGCGGATCGAGGTACGTGTAAAAAAAAGCACCGTTGTCCAACCGCCAGTCGTGGTCCTCTGCGATGTTGTCCACGAGCTTCAGGACGATATCGCCAACAATGTCCACAGTCAGGGACTCCCAATCATCCGGGATGAAGCTTCCCACCTTCTTCACCTACACCAACACGTGCGACAACTGTCGCTTGTGGTAACCAATTGCGATATCAAGGTCCACCGCCGCCTTGCCGTTGACGTCCACGGAGTAGTAGCAGTACGGCTTCCAGTCGATCTCTCGGCCGAACGCGCTTGTGTCACGGTGGAAGAACATGTCACGCTCCCGTCGGCGCTCCCAACACATGACACTCTCCCCTCGCACAATCTCTCTCCATGTCAAAGTCGCTGCCATCTCTCTTTCTCTCTCTCTCTCTCTCTCTCTCTCTCTCTCTCTCTCTCTCTCTCTCTCTC